CTGTTAATTCGAAAGAAGCAATCGCGATTCGATGAATAATGCGGAGCGATACACGGAGCAACTCCTGTCGCTACGAAGATCTAGACTAGACTGAAGTCGCGCGACCGGTACGGCGCGGCGTAACTCACGCGCCATAAAAACAACTGCCTAGGTCGTGCGGTAAACAGTCACAAAAACATCAAACGTTACAAAATAAATGTGAAATATTCTCTTCCTCGCGCTTTAATGTAATTCCGGTATGAAAACTGTAATCACATATTTTACGCTTTATTTTACGAATACATTAGCGTTGCCTAAGGTAACGATTAATTAAAGGAGTTTCTTTAAAGTTAGAATTAAGTAAAAACGATAACCCGTGTGATGTGTTATCTCTCGAAATAGTTGTAACAAATATTAAAAAGTTCTAAATTGTTATTCCACAATTATTACAATAAGCAATTATTAGTCCGCGTAATTAAATGTTTGCTTGAAACGTTTTAAAGCGACAATTACTTAACAAATTTCGACGACTTTCGACGTATTTCGTGCGATTTATTCATCTGAAGTAAAATTCGAAACAATAGAAAGAAATTATAAATTACCGTTTCACTATTTTAATAGAAAAAAAAACGGAATATCGAGTATATAAACTGTAATATATTACATATTTTGAAGAAACCAAATTAACTGTCGCACAATCTCGATGTTGCTTTTTTGTTCCACCAACTCAAACTTCTCGTTTTAACGTAATTTACCTATTTTCTTCAGATTGATAAGACGGAATAACGTACGAATCTTCAGATCGAATCATTCAAGTATGCGAGACCGGATTACGTCGATTAAGGCTGCGTTCGGATATTCACTGCCAGTACTGAAAATCTATAGTTTACGTTACGTATACTATACATTTTCAGTACTGGCAGTGAATATCGGAACGCAGCCTAAGTATTGATAATTAATTTGAAAAGGAAAACGCGGAATATTTCAAGTATAATTATTTCGTAATAGGTAAGGTATTTTCCGGCGACGAGGCTGATTGCCGCGCGGCCTTGATGTTTGTTTTGATAACGGGACGCGCTAAGTATACGCGTAAGGCTGCCGCGCACGGTTATCATTTGCAAAGCGACAGTCGAGTCAGCAGGTAGCAGCAAGGGCTGCTCTGTGTATCGTGATATTACTCTCTCAACGTGGAGACAAGTCCTAGAAGATATTAAACAGCATCGTATCGCACAGTTACTACGGTAAGTGGTTATTAATTAATTAAGGATTCGGTAAATGCATCAAAGCAACGATATTTCAATGTGATTGAAGCAAATTCTCTTGTCAAAATTAAGTTTTCGAGTAGTGTTATCTCTATCCCCAACGACACATTTCCCGGAGTTCGAAACTCGAATTCGACACTTGATTTATTCGAATTCAAGCGTCGCCAACAAGATAATGTCGCGAAACAATAATTCATAATTTACAATGTCGTAAATGTCGCGAAATAATAACTTACAATTCTTATTTTCTTTCACTCGCATTTCTATTCATCATGTCGTGAAACAATAATTTATAATTTATAATGTCGTAAATGTCGTGATGCAATAATTTACAATTCTTATTTTCTTTCATCCACATTCCTATTCAAACGAATAAATCACACAAAATACCATCGATGATGTGATTCGATAAATAGCCGTCACTTTGTTACATTTACAAATCACTGTATAGAAATTATTGGCGAATTATTGCAAATTATTCGTATATCGTCTTTTTCCAACGACATTCCAAATAATTGATATTAATCACTTCATTTAAAAGAATTATTTAAACGTATTCTTTTAAGAATAAAATTTATCTTTATAATATATTATCTATATATTATTTTTATTATGTTAATATGTATTATTTATTAATATGCATATACTATTTTATTGATGTGTATTAAGCTCGCAAAAATTAATTATTTCCCTTATTTAAATATCATATAATTGACAACAATGGAATACCAAGGTAGAAATAAAAGAATAATGCTGCGATATAATGCTACACAACAACCGTTATCGTTTCTGACACATCGAATCTAAGCGTCTGCTCAAAGTGGAAAACGAAATGATATAACGAGTTACGCAACTTTATATAATGTTAGATCGTAACTGTCAATAGAAGCATGTGATATAAGCAAAGATTTTTTTCTCAATTATTATAAAAAGCACGCGAAATCTCAGCAATACCTATCGAACTCGGTGTATCGAGAAAGGAAATCACAAAATTGTTGTCGTATGAAAAAAAATTACGTCGCATTCATCTTGAGATTGATGGAACACCGCCGTGCGATACATCATACAACTGCGGAACAGCAGAAACCCTTTAATCGCGAAATCAGGAATTAGTAATTACGAAACTAGTGAATGTCGTACATCATTCGAACGTTCCATCGTATAATTTTAATTGATTGCACCTAGATGCGTTACTCTCAACCAAACATCAGAATTTTAGAAAAAAAAGGAAGCCAAATTTTATCACCGCCTGTATAACTCATCCTGTGTTCGACGCACACGAGACATGCACGGAAATATAAAAAAAAAAACTATTTCTGTGCACCTGCAGCGTAATGTGTATATTCTGAGCGTAGGTAGAAGATAAAGAATAGTTCCGTGGAACTCATTACAAGAACGTTGTAGTCTTAATTAGAATATTACAAAGTTATATCAGCAGGTGTAGATCCAATTTAACACAGATATTCGCCGCGAGCTTTTGTAAGACACGGAACCCAAAGCGATTTTATTATTCTTTGCCCCTCTCTCTCTCTCTCTCTCTCTCTCTCTCTCTCTCTCTCTCTCTCTCTCTGCTTTCTCTTTCTTTCTCGTTTTAAATCTCAGTGGCCCTTTATTTCATACCTTTCTTGGTTCTATCTCATTTCCTCATTTTTAGTCATCCTCTCTTTCATCTCGTCCGACCAAGCGTTACCATCGTAGTAAAGTAGATATTGTTGCGTCAAATCGTTTAAAACTTAGAGAATAGCCTCTAAAGCAAAGCAAAGTTTACTCCAAAGCTCTTTTATATGTCTTATTAGAGAAAGTGTGGAAGAGACTAGCTTATTATTTAGCGATAATTAAGCTTCTAAAGGAAGATTCGAAGATATCCTCAACTTTCCTTCTATTGAACGAGCGAGAAGAGATAACGCTGCGAGATATTGCACGCTGAGCGGAAGATTGATTAACGCTGGATTGAAAGTGCGCAATGTGCATTAGCTCGTAATCGTACCATTTTCTTAAATAGATATTCCATTCACATTTTTAACTTGAGACGATATGTCGTGTCAAATCAAAACGTTTATTGATATTGCGCGAATTTAAATACGGTCAAATGTAAAATGAAGGTTTTCGCAAGTTACGTCTTATAGAAACTATTTGTAGCTTGGAGCCGGTTCTTGAAATTCTTCAATTGATTTAAAATTAAAGAGTGGCATGCGTTGATGTGTAACGCAAAAATGGAAGCAGATTGACAAAAAGTCGGGACAAAAACCTCAAATTTTCGTTATTATATCTCGCAATAAACAGCCGGCTTAGAGAACAATGGTACGCGGTACAACCGTATGGTTTTGCAACGATTCTAGCAGATACTGCAATAATCGCCTTTCACTGCTCATACTTGACAAACCCATGTAATTAGCATATACGCATACTGTTTCGCGTAGTTTCGCGAGTCCTATGTATGAATTATCGTTGCAATTCTAATTGTAACACAACCGAGCCTTATCGAGCGGGAATAACGTTCCAACATTATCTGTTAGGCCCCCAGCTAATTAAATTTATCTTTAGTATCTATGCATAATTGCCGAAGGTGAAGCCGCATGT